ACCACTGGCTTAAGGAATCTTTCTACCTCATAGCATCCCCGTATAAGGATTTCATAAACAGGTTGGGACCCTTAGAAAGTATACAAATAAAATCCCACTCCCATTTGACAAGAGAAATAAAAGCCAATTGAAGCCAAATAAGCTTTTGATTTTTATATTGCTTACATCATGTTGCCCTCAATAAACAAATTTCTTTTTCTTAAAAAAAGAAAAGAAAAATATATTAAGTAAAAGTTTAATGAATATGTTTGGTAATAGGAGACAATAATGGTTAAGTGAATTATGGTAATATTAACTCATGAAGTTAATGAAAAACATGAAAACTATAGTTTAATGAAAAACATGAGAACTATAGTTCTATAAGAAATAGTATATGAAATGTTAAGTGACAAAAGTAAATAAAATGAAAATTTTTCATTTCTACCTTACTCTTAGGACAAAATAAGTTACAGATGGAGCAGAGAATTAAATGTAAAAAAAATGGCATTACAAGGAAGAGCATATAGAAGAAACATTTTTTATAATCTTGGAGTATGACACAAAACCCAAAGCCATAAAAGAAAACACAGATGAATTCAAATACATAAAGTCAGAAATTGTACATTAAAAGCTTCTATAAATAACATCGGAAACATATTAAGAAAAAGATTTTTAACACATGACAAAGCTAATTTCTATAATACATAATGCGTTCTACACATTTTTAAAGATCAGAAACAATAGAATGATGCAAAAGAAATTAACAAACTTTAACAGAAAAAGATATACAAATGGCTCTTCAACATATGAAAAGATATTCATTAGTCCTCATAAACATTTTTTTACCTCTCAGATTGGTAAATATCAAAAAAAAAATTTGCTATTGCATTGTATTGGCAGAGGGCAGTGAAAGAGGCATTGCTATATGTGTATTGTTGGTAGAATGTAAATTAGAATAACCTCCATGGAGGACAATTTGGAAACATCTATCAAAATTCTGAATGCCCATAGTATTTGTTCCAGAAAGTTTCATTAGTAGAAATTTATCCTCTAAAAATATTCCTCTATTTATGAAATTTCATATATTCAAGGATAGTCATTGTAACATTGTTGATAATAGCAAAAAATTAGAAGTAGATGTCTATCAAATGTTTCCATATCAACTGATATGGAACTGTCTCCTTTTGCTAAAAGAAAATACAAGGGTGCAAGGCAGTATGTGTATCATTTGTGTGAAACAAAATCAGAAACAAAAACTAACAGAAAACATTTATATAGATTCTTAAATATATCTAGATTGTACCTGGTAATATACATAAAAATTTTAAATGGCAATTATCTTTAGGGAGAAGAACTTGTGTTGGCTAGGGGAGCAGGTGTGAGATGGAGACTTACTATTTAATGTTTATCATATTGTCCTTTTTGAATTTTGTACCATATGCATGTGTTACCTACTTTTTTAACCTACTTTTTTAAATACTAAAACCATTTAAAAGAGGGTGGGGGACAAAATTTCATAGCCATCATTTATTCATTCCACAAATATTATTTTAAAAGAAAGAAGAAAAAGATAGCACTTTTTCTTTCTGCCTAAAACCTAGAGAGACAGATAGATAAATAAAATTATTGTGGTAAGTGTAATAATGGAGTAGATGTGTATGCTAAGTATAGTTGTGGCACAAGAAGAGAATAATCCATTCTTTGCTTGATATGTCAAGTTTAAAAATGAAAATTTACATATATACTCTGATTACAACTACATAAAAGCTATATATAAACAAATAACAAAGAGGAATTGAAACTCACAGAGGAAGACTTAAATATATGAGTTTCATTCAGTTGGTGAGGATATAAAGGATTTTGGAGTATCTAAGTTGTATTCACATTTTAGAATCAAGTTTTTGATTATTTACTTTATATTTTTAAAAAGTAAAGTAATCTAGGATTCTGTAGATTTTCAGCTCCAGTTTAGCATCTCTTACTTGTACTCTTAAAGATGAGAAGATAGGAAATACTGCATTTGCCCCCAAGTTAATACAGGGGATAAACTTATTACCACACACACCTTTCTACTTTTATCCACTATTTAGGCGTGAATCTCTCCAGGCTACTATGAAAAGCCTTAGAACTGATTAGTGTACAGGTTTTATCTGTATAAGTGTTTAATTATCTTCAGAGGGGGTTTCTTTCTAAATTTTTTGGTATATAACTGCCTTTTTCTTTCCCAAGGAACTTCTTTAACACTAGCAGACCCTTACCAGAGCCATTTTTAGATGCCTTAAAGGTGAGTTGCAGAGCAGCCAAGACTATATTAAGCAAGAATTTATGGCCTTTCCTGTTATAAGCTACATATAACAAGTAAATACCAATTAAAATCCACTGGAACATTAATCTAATGTGATGTTGCTGTGTCATAATACTTTAAATTCTACCATATGAAGTTATGTCCAGGTCTTATGATCAGCTCCATCTCTCATTAAGTCATATTTTAAAGCACTACTGCTTCATTTCCTTCTCCATTTGTGGATTTCACTGGTCTGGTTCTGTGCCTCTATCTTGAACTATTTAAACTGGCTCAGTCTGGAGCAGTGGAACCAGGCACAATACCGAAAAAAGTGGAGCAGAACTGGCCTCGATACTTCCTTCACTGCCTATAGTCACACTTCCTTGCCTGACCCCTATACCTTCAGGGCATGACCTTTTCATTTCTTATGTATACCTTTTATTCAGTTATTCTTTCAGCAAATATGTACAGCATACTTCCTATGTGCTAGGCACTCTGCTGTTTGCTGGGGATATAGCAGTACCTATAACAAACATGGTGCCTCCCTTTGAAACTTACATTCTAGTAAGGAAAGGTGGTCTCAAACAGCTAATTATGTGGTGAATTTTTAAGTTATAATTCTGAAAAGAGGAAAGTACACCATACTATGAGAATATAGCAAGCCAGGACCTGAGCTGCTTAAGTGTTAGTGATCAAAGGAGGGCTTACTTGGAGAACTGGTGTTTTGAATTCTGCTCTAAAAAGTGAGTCAAAGTCAACTAGAGAAAAGCTGAATGGAGAGAGTAGGGAAGGAAATACAGGTCAGGACACTTATGGCATGTTTAAGGAACTGAAAGAATGCCCATGAGGTTGGAACATAGAAAATAAGAGAGGAAATGCAAGATGATGCTGGGAAGGTCAGAAAAGGCCAGATGGTGCAGAGTCTTGTAAGCTAAATTAAGGATTTTAGACTTAATTCCTCAGACAATACGCCACTGAAGAGTTTTCAGTTGACGAGTGAGAAGGTTAACATTTTTGAAAGGTCTACCCGGCTTTACTTTGGAGAATGGACATCTGTTAAGTTTATTTTAGCCATAGACAGTTGGGACTTCATTTTTCTGTGATTTGATTTGGTTAACCCATTCATTGGGGTTGGAGCTCTTAATAAGAGAGAGGTTAATGGAAAGGTAGTGTGGCATGGTGGTGAAGAGTGTGTGACCCTGGATAAGTTACTTCTGTAAGTGTCAATTTCTTTATTCAAAGAATGAATATAATAGTATACCTGCTTCATGGGGCTATTGTGATGATTAAATGAGATACTGTCTGCAAAACACTTAGATTAAGGCCTCCTGGCACATAGTAATCCTGTAATAAATGTTAGCCACTGTAACAGTCTAACAATCTCAATCTGTTCCTCTGAGAATTACCCATTCTTGGTGGCCCTTGGAGTAGTTTTCCATCCATAAATCACATGTGGACTTGTCTAGCCACCATCACTGCACTATAGGAATCTAGCCTATTTAACTAGTAGAGAAACATTATGCATGAAGTTTAATTTTACAAATGTCTTTTGGAGATGAAAATGGAAGCTGAGGAATGGTTGCTTGCTTTAACCCTAGCTATAGTTTTGCTTTGAAGCTTGCTTTTTACAAATACCAATGAGTGGGTTCTGACACTTGCAGGAAACTCAACAATGTAGTTTGTTGCTTGGAAACATCTGTTTCCCACAATACTAGGTAACTACTGTGTGTAATTATACTGCCAAGCAAAACTTCAAGTTGATCAATGTTAATTGTTGACAGTATTTGAAACGTTAATAATGTCTCCCCATAAACTGCTTTTCCAAAAAAGATTGTTCCAGTTTTACAAAAGATTTAAATGCCATTGATTTCTTCATTCAGTGAGATATAAGTCTAGGTCTGGAAGCTAGGTGGGATCTTCTAATTTAATATTTTCTAGAAGTTAGTACATAGAAAGTGTGTTTTCTCTGATGCTTTAAAATTTGCCACATTACATGCTTACAGAAATTCTCACTGTCTGACTTTTGTTATCTTTAGCCTATTCTCCAAAATTGTACATTTCTGCCTTTGATCCATTGTGGATCTAGGGAAAAGAGATAAATCATACTATCTTTATATGAGGCCTGGGGAGTTTTGGGTAGGTGGGAATCTGTTCTAAAAGTTTGCGGTGGATTCAGAACCTGCCCAGAAAGTCGTTTTGTGTGTGTGTGTTTAAATTTGTCTTCTAGCTTGATAACATAGAGGGCAGGATTTGAAAAGGAGTTTTGCTGCCAAGTGCTACAAAGGAAAAAATTTTAAGTTTCTTATGTAGTCAATGAGAGTTCACTGCAATCAAGTTTACTTACTAAATTTATCAGAGACTTCCTGTGGTAAGATGGTTCACTGATGGTGAATAATTCCATTTTTAAAATATAAGTGAGCTTTATGTGTTGTTTTTTTCTCTGTCCACATCATGGCAGCAGGGAGGGTGTTGAGTGAGAAAGGAAATGGCCAAAAATAGTGCTTTACCCAGCTGTTACAGGAAGATAAACAGAGGTTCTACCACATATAACTATCTTCTTTAAAATGATTAAGTAATACGTATATAGCATTACTACTAAAACCTAAGTGGGGTGGTCTTATGTTGATCTAGAAAAATGTTCACATACAGACACTGTAGCTATGTTGGTTTTTTAATATACTCTATTCTGTTTTTGTTTTTCTTTCATTGTTTTATGTTTGCCCCTCTCAACTTCAAGAAGCTATACTGAAGAGTGTACCAAGTCACAGTGTATGCTACCTGGAACTTCCTGAGAACTGAGCATTTTATTCTTGCTGAAAATTTTTTACCCAATTTTAGAAGAATGACACATGGGAAAACCAACTTTATTTTATTGCTGTTGATTATTTCTTAAAATAGGAAAAGGAACTTAATCCTTTCACTTCTTCATCAACCACTTAGTATATGCCACACACTGTTCTAGTTGCTTGGGATACATCTGTGAACAAATCCAAAAAGCACTGCCCTATGAAGCTTATAGTCTGATGATTGTTGCCATTTTACCTTTTGCCTCTGCCAAATAAGTACTGGATTCAAATCCTAGCACAACCAAATGTTGTCTGTGAACTTGGAAAGTCATTTCTCCCTCTTTGATCCTTAAAATTGTAAGCCTAGTAATCCTGTTGTCATGTTATCATTCATTTGGGTGTCTTAAAAATCATGCATCACATTGGTTCTTGTTAATTGCTTGGATTTGTACTCAGAGTAGCCTTACGCAAAATAACTTAAAGAAATTTTGTCCCAGGATTTACTTGTATATGCTCCCTGGTGTGTTTTTACAACTGATCTGAATTAACATCAGCAACAATTTGTATTATGAAAGCCAAGGCCACATGAGTTTATGTTTATAGAATTTAATCTTACACATGTCATCAAAGTTGGGAAATGATGGAGGAAATGAAATGACAGTTTTCTGAGTAAAATAGCTGCTGCTTTTCTTTCCTTTTGCAAGCCTATCTGTTCTATTCCATGCGATTCTGCTGGGACCAATAATCACCTGGCCCTGCTTTTCTATCACTGAGATGGTCATGTCTGCAGACCCATGTCAGGCTGGTCAAAGTACCCCTTTTGCCTAGACACTATAATTGGTTCAGGGTAGCACATGGCCCAAGCAGGGCCAATGAGAGTCATGTTGAAAGATAGGTACAGATGCTGGGGGTAAAAAAGTTCTTTTTTCTGTACTCTGATTAAGAGGATGATAAGTGTTTAGTGTGATTAGTGAAGAATAAGAAGGAAGCATAGTCCAAAGAGAGGGAGAGCGGGGAAAATAACATCATCAAATTTCTGAATCCTCTTTGGATTTACCAGTTATGTGAACCACTACTACTACCTTTTTTTTGTTTTTCTGAAGTCAGATTGCTTGTGACTGAAACCATCTTGTATAATACAGTATCCTTATTTATTACTGTGATAGTCATTTGTGTTTGCCAATATTTCTGGTTCTCCTTATTCCAGATACTGGTAGGATAATACTATCTAGGGGAGTTGGGCATGGTCATGTGACTGCTTTGGCAAATGAGCTATGTGACTTCTGTCACTTCTAGGTGGAAGCCTAGAAGTCTTAGCTAATGCATGATTCATTATATTTCATTCTCCTTGTCATAGTGATCAGCCATATCCCAGATGAGAGGGTAACATGGAACAGTATCTCCACCAACCTGCATGTAGCATAAATGAGAAACTTATTATTTTAAACCACTAAGATTTTTTAAATTTATTTTTAATTAGAGTTGAAATACAATATTATATTAGTTTCAGGCATATGGCATAGTGATTAGACATTTATATACCTTACAAAGTGATCACGATAAGTCAAATACCCATCTGACACAATATAGTTATTACTATATTACTGACTATATTCTCTATGTTATGCTTTACATCCCCATGACTAATTTTATAACTGGCAGTGTATATTTTTCAATCCCCTTCACCTTTTTTGTCCATCTCCCCTGTCTGGCAACTATCAGTTCATTCTCTGTGTTTATGAGTTTGTTTTGGTTTTGTTTGTTTGTTTTGTTTTTTAGAGTCCACATATAAATGAAATCATGGTATTTGTCTCTCTCTGATTTATTTTACTTAGCATAATACCCTCTAGGTTCATGCATGTTGTCTCAAATGCCAAAATTTCATTCTCTTTTATGGCTGAATAATATTCCATTATATATGTGTACACCAGGGTGGGGCAAATGTTATTAGCCAGGTTAATGGAGAATGACATGTTGTACCCACTTGTGCCAGGCTAGCTAGATGGGAGAAGAGCTCAACTACGAACAATGTTGCCCACTAGTGCTTCCATCTCCTGAGAGAGTTCCCACCAATCCCTGTCCTTCCAGCCCTCACCCTAAAGTTAGTCCATTTAATTCCTCCCCATTTGACCCAGACTCTTCTCAAACTGCTACCCGTGCTCTGGAGCATGGAGCAAGTGAGTTTGTTCATGAACTCTTTCAAATATAGCATCACAGTCTCCCACAACCCTTTGTCAAACTCGGACATAATCCCCACTGGTATTCAAAGCCAGATGTTATAGGGACTCTGCTTCCTGGTACAAGTGCCGCTGACTGGGGAGCCCATTGTAGGGATCGGACCCTCACTCCTCAGGGGGGACCTCTGCAGCCAAGATATCCCTCTTGTTTATTCATCACCATACCATGGATATGGGACAGCCACTCTGACTGATACATTTTCTTTATTAAAATATTCTAAGTATTTCAGGTGAAAAATATTTTAATATGACATCTAAAAACACTAATGTCCACAGAATAAGATTATTAAAATATTTAGTATATGAAGTTATTCTAGTTTAGTATTAAGCTATAGTCTGTAAGCAAACAATTGTACTTCCTGGTTTACCATACAGGAACTAAATTTGCTTTTAGAGCTGTAATCTCTGACCAAATTATAGTTGCCTTGTTTCATGTTATGTGGCAGGACAAAGTCTATAATGACAGGTGTTTATAACTCATACTATGTAAGCACTCTAGCCTTGCCCATGACAATTTCTCTTATGTGGCCAGGACAATGATGACATCTCTGTAACCAGGCCTTGCTATCTAAAAATAGAGAAACCAGACAGGTAGGAGGAAATGATTCAAGGACAAGTTGAACAAAAGCCTGATTTGCAGCCATGTAGTATCAGTATGGGAGCCTTGAAATTAACATAGCCTTTGGGAGATAACCATCAAGGAAGGTGCCTGTAGTCTACAAAGTGAGTGTATAATACAGGTGGCAGTGAGCTCTGTGGACATGAACATCCTCTTTGAGGCAATGCCATTTGTTCATGTCACATAAATATCCTCTTTTCTCCAACCCCAGCAAGATTTTTCACTGAAATTTTAGGGAATATTTTGCTTGAAAAAATTTTAGGGAATATTTTGCTGAGGGAGGTGGGGAGCACTGTGGAGAGAAAGAGAAAGAAAGTAAGAGGGAGAGACAGACAGACAGATAGATCGTGAGAGATCTTGATCTTCAATATCTGTTGAACTCTCCAGCTCATGTGAAGTGGCAACATAGTCTCATGGGCATAGCACATTTGGGTACTATGATTTTTCTACCTGTGTAATAGAAATAGAAGAATGTTTCCTCTCTTACCTTTGCTTGATTGTATGCATGGGAAAATGTGGTACATATGTATTTGTCAGGACTCTTAGTACAGAGTAATAGAAACTGGTTTACATAGGAAATAAAGGTTATTTGTTGTTGAAAACAAAAGTTATTTGTTGTTTCATGTAATTGTTTCAGCCAATTAGAGTATGACATCCCCTTGCCAGCAGTTGGCTTAAGCAAGAGCGTGCGATCCAGTTCAAAACCGTCAAATGAGAGGGAAGCTGGGGAGTGGGTGGGGTTGCAGGAGGCTTCTTGGAAAATTTTCCTTATACTTAAGAGACAAGGGGAAGAGCTGTTTTCTTCAGCTGACCGTTCTTGGATATACATGTGAAGGATTTGGAATGTGGCAGTCATCTTGGAACTATATTAGCCTGAGAGCAATGCTGACACAATCAGGATGGCAGAGCAAAAGATGGGAAAAAATGCATTCTTGAAAAAGTTCAGCTTTTCCTTATCGTTTAAGCCATTTTTTGGTGGATTTTTTTTTTCTTTTATTACTTGAGACTAAAAAACATCCTGAGTAATACATAGAGATATTTTAGGTTCCTCAGACAGAAAAGAAGCTGTTTGCTACATAGTTCCACTGGACCTAGTAGAGTGCCTTGCGCATAGTTGAAGCTCAGTAAACATTTGTCAGATAAATGTGATTGTCCTTATTTGTATTTATAATTGAAGCACTAGAAAAAAAACACGTTTCTTCCCTTTCTCTAACAGTTCAGTACAAAAGTTATTAAATGGGACTAAGCATCATAGGTGTCTTCAGGTAAGCACCAAGGCCTAGTGTGGGTGAGATATTGGAGCCCAAGAAGAGTGAGAAGGTTATTGACATGGAGGAGGTGCCCTAAAGCCAATTGCTAGAGCCTGAGTATAGTGAGGAGGGAGTCCCAATGAGAAGGAAGGATTAAGGAGCAGCCCATATTAAGCCTTAGAGCCTGAAGAATGGGAAGAAGAGGGATATTGGCCCGATGAGAAGTGTCAGATCCTAAGTGGAGTGAGACGATACCTGCTTATATTGGAAACTTTACTGTAATTTTATAATGACACGTATCTAAAATGTACCTCTATTTCATTTTTTAATGAAAATTTTACAAATTTTCATTTGTAAAATGAAAACATTTGCCTAACATTTGGCTAACATTTCTAATGTGCCTTTTAAAATATGAAATTACTGTTTAATATATTACATGAAATTTCTTAAAGATGTGTCTGATTAAAGCAACTTCACCTTCCCAGCAAGTCAGCTTATTTTCTATAATGCATAAATTTTGTTAATTATAATCTGCATTTCATCTGTATAGAAAATATATATTTTTTAAATCCCCCCGCCCCCCACCGACACACACTTCCACTCCTGACCTACAGATGTTGCCGTCTCCCCTTAAGAATTGGATCTCTGAAGGCGGAGCGTCCCCTCCCACGCGCTGGCAGCGCACACCCCACCAGGCCCCAGCACACCCAGGTATGGGCCGTGGCTCCACTGGGGCTTGAACCCAGGACCTTCTGCGTGTAAAGCAGACATGCTAACCACTACTCAGAAAATATTTTTCATTTTAGTTTTCAATGGAGTAGAACTAAAGTATTTACTTTTTTCACAATTGTACTATGGCACTTTTCAAAAATTTCAAAGGAAACTTGAGAGAAATAGTCTTTTGAGAAAAAAAGATCAGGCTCACTGATGTCCAAAACTCTGATTTTGGAAGCAAAAATTGCATCTCACCATTAATAGCAATTCAACAGCACAATGTGGTTGTAATCATTTTGCAAATGTGATTAGGTAGTCAAGATTAGCTCCATTTATTAGTGATAAATATGGCCAACCCAGGCCCCACTGTGATCTTCAGGCAGAACTAGAGCCAAGGCCAAGAGCTATATATATTGCCCATTAAATGTGCGTTTATGGAAATGAGGATTGGAGAAAACTAGGATCAGAAGAAAGGAAAGTAAAAGAGTATCTCGCTCATATGAAGTTTTTCTTCAATGATTATATGATATCATTTTTAAAAAGCTTTCCATATCTGGAAATTTATACTACCTCATATTTGTCTAATTTAATGAGGTTGAGGAAGTCCAACACTTGTTAACTAATTGACAATCTCAGGTGACTGAGCTGGTGGAGTGCATGCATATCACTGGAGATGCTGAAGGAGTAGGCTAGTACAAGGAGGTAGCAGCAGTATCTTTGAGTTTAGAGGACAAGATGCATTGAACAAGAGGATATTGGTAATTCTGGTTCTATCTGTGATCATATTAAATGAAGGCTTTTCCCCTACATAGCTACAGTTTGACCCAGATTATTATTTAGCTCTCGTTTTTAGTTTCTTATCACTATGAATTCCAAAGTTTATTAGGTATAACACATTTAGATATTCTTTTCATTATTATTGCCTTGGTTGGCTGGTTAGTTGCTTTGTTTTTAAGTCCTTATTGTTACATAGTGGACCAGAATTTCACCCCCTCCATGGTTTTCATTATTTTGAATTTCAGTTTGCTCATTTTTCCTTTTCTCACTTGGAAACTTTTTTTTCATGATTTATTTGCTCCAATGACTGACTGATGCAGTAAATATTTATAGAGTACCTATTAGGTGCTTTATTCTTAATAAATCAGGATAAGATAGAAATATATATAATTATAGTTCACCCTTGAATAATGCTGGAGTTAGGGGTGCTGACCCCCCATGCAGTCAAAAATATAACTTTTGACTCCCCCAAAACTTAACTACTAATAGCCTACTGTTGACTGAAAGTCTTACTGATAACATACAGTCAATTAATACATATTTTGTGTGTTATATAGATTACATACTGTATTATTATAATAAAATAAGTTACAGAACATGTTAAAATCATAAGGAATAGAAAATACATTTACAATATTTACTGAAAAAAATCCACGTATAAGTGGAACCTGCACTGTTCAAACTCAGGTTATTCAACAGTCAACAGTATAATTCAAGGAAGAAGATAAATTCAAGAAGAGCAGGAATTTAGAAAAGGAGAG